TATCAAAGTAGTAAGAGACTAGCCCAACCTATGTGACCCATGTCCCAATTCAGATTTCGCACTGCAATGATCCATCCAGACGGAGAGAAAACCTCCAAGAAGATACTGATCCCTAATTTTTGGCTTGAAATACAACTCCCCTATCCGTAGAACGCAAATCTCCGAGTACAAACCCATACACCAGGGACACATACGAAATAGGACCCTGTCACAGGTCCCACAGGAGCGCGACCGACGACGATAGGTGATCAGGCATTTCATGGAAGCACAGTCGACGATGATGGGTGCTCATTCATGACGGCCAGACAGTCTGGATCAAGGTCGAAAGTACGCTTAGAATACCGCGAAGCTCCTTGTAAATTTTGCACCCACTTGTTCGCAATAAAGCTGTCGTTTTCCTTGTTGATGAGTCTTTTTTCGTCACCAAGACACTGGAGGGAGGAAGAGCAGTTAGATAAAACAGTCCCGATCGACTGATGAAGACTTTAAAGTGTTTTCACCATGACTATACACCAAATTTGAGGCTTTGTCAGTGCTCTTTTCTGCGTCGAACTATGCAACGATGCTTGTTCAGCGTAGGACAAGTAGAGCCGAAATCTTTCATGTTTTCGGGTGACAGGTGAAGCGTATTGTTAGCAGCACACAGGTTTGGTGGTAGATCACGTTGCCGAGCTTGGTAATTAGGTGTTAAACGTTTCGTCAGTGAGCTGACTCACTCAACTGCTCGCTGACGATGTTTCGTCGACTGGGGATAAAACGTTTGCAAGCCAATTGCCAAGCTCGGCGAACAGATAATCGACCACCAGTACACACACACATACACTCGAGCTACCAATATTTCAATACGTTACGATACAATACACTGGCTTGTTGCACACTTGCTTCATGTGTGTCAGGTGGCCACACATCGCAGGCGCGATCGCATACATTTGAAGCTTCATTGTTCGGTCCAGTTATAATCTGTCGCCTACCTGAACGTGTGTGTAGTCTGGCTGTAGCCTAAAAGATCGCTGCCGTTTGGATGGTTCGATGCAACCCGCTGAGAGCAAGTGATGTGCTCCGATTGGGACAGAACCTGACTGAAAAACCCTATACGCATTCTCATTTAGTACATTATGAGATGTGATCACCAAGCCACAGCCTGGTGTGGTCGCACCTAGCCACATAACCGGTTTTGAACACCTGACGATCAAGACTACCAAGCGGTAGCTGAAAACCCGAACTTCTAATGTCCAACTATGGTGTGGATTTACAGAAGGTGGGTAAACATCTCTGTAAACATTCAATCACGTCCACGTGCAGTATGATTTTTGAATTTTAAACAAGCTCGTACCTGTCCCAAATGTATGTCTAGCGCCCAGTAAAGGTAACATTTAGGGTTCCAGTGACCATCATTCGGACAAAACATGAGCAGTCGAATGCGAGTCGAATGCACACAAACATGGATAAACAGGAATCGATTGAAGACGGTGGTTCGACAACCTGTAAGCCTTTGACAGAGTTCGTAGGAAAATCCCGATAACAAAGCACCACGAATGGCTTCGCATGGAGCGGGAACGCAAGAGGCTAGTCGCTTGAACTAGTGATTGCAAGGAACACCTGAAGCTATTCTCAACTCAGTGGTGAAACGGCGGTTGGGGGGGGGGGAAGTCGTACCAGAGTAGAAGACTTTCTGAAAAATGCGGACATTGTAGAGCAATTCCGTGGTTTAGCCCTGTAACCGACAACAGTTTGTTTATCGAAAGACAGTCCTCAGTTAGTGATAGATGCCGCGCTGCGATGCAAGAGGCAAACGACTTGCCAGGATGACTGACGAAGCAAGATAGTTTGAGCATGTTGTTCTTGGATTCTTTTGCCGAGAACGTTAGATCGGGAGGATCAAACCGAAAAATGGGCTGAGACACCACCGTTGTTATAAATATCAAGCTATATATACGATAAACTGCCACCGAGACCATTTAACTTTTTTTGCATGCTGCCATTTAGTATACACTAAATGTGCATGGAGGAATGCCGCAGAAGTGTGGCTNCTCGATCGAATTGTACGTCCCGAAAGGGAGCGACGGTGGCGCGATGACCGGGCACTCTCTCTCCCTCTGACAGCAGGATTTACCTGAGGGAATGGGAACATATCCGAACCTCGCAAAATACACTCATTTTGTTTTAACAGAAGGCTTAACAAAAACCCAGCTGAACCTTTCGTCTATGACATTTTCCAGCCGAATGCGTCGATACGGAGAGCGTTCGTGTCTCAGTTCGTACGGTATTTGGGATATTGTTTTCTTCAAAGAAACTATTCACAAGGTTGTAGAAAACTCTTTGACAATGCACGACCAGCTTAGGCCCTCCTTGGGGGCGAGACGGCCCAGGTGGTTAGAGCGCGAATTTACTGACCGGACGGTCCGCGGTTCGAACCCGACCTCTGCAGATGACAGTTTTGTCGTGTTTGGGCGAAATACGGTAACAAATCACTTACAGGTTCATTTAGAATGCATGGTAGGAACCACCGTGTACGAGAAACCAACAGATTGCGGTGCAAAGTTTGCTAAGGTTGCCTCAAAAATGAAGCCTCCGTGTATGAAAATTGATCAGACGCCAATGTGAATAGAAAAAACGAGCTTCGACGGAGTGAACATTAACTAAATTTGATTGGCCACCATTTAGAGAGAGTATGTGTTGTTGCTACACAACAGGGAGTGCACAGTGGCAGCTGTTTTTCAATACAACCCAGGGACATTTGAAGTCCCTCGAAAGGTTCTGATCAACACTTCAGGGAAGAGACATTTTACGACACTCACTAGTTTAACTGATGGAGAATCCCCGGCAGAGGGAAGCGAGGACGATGCTGAGTGAATGAAGGAATGGCCCGTCTTCTGGAAAGCACTCCAAATTAGTTTAAACAGCCTAGTTAGACAAAAAACAAGGATATCCAACGTGGTCTTCGAATAACACCACTGAGAGCTCTTTGGCCTCTGAAAGCTGCTAGCAGTGCAAGAATCTTGCTGCTCAGCCATGAATGCTAGCTGCAAAAATACATTTTACTAAGATCAATTTTGAACAAAATTCTTCACAGTTAGCATTGTGAAAATGAACACCAACAGCGGACTAGACTGCATCTAAAAAATCATTCAGATGTAGCACCCTTTCGGTCCCTAACTGCCACGCCACCCGAAGGAAGCACAGGGGCTAGGATACTGCCAAGTTGCCCAAGCCTAGGCAGGGGGAGTCGAGAGGCAGAGACCGGGTTCGAACCACGGACCTTCCGGTCAGTAGATTCGTGTTCTAACCACTTGAACCATCTCGCGCACATACGGAAATTCCGTCAGAATTGTTCCCCAGAACCAGAACTGTTCTCAGATTACGAGGCCATCTCCACGGGCCCTAGAAACAACGGCCTGACCACGTAGCGCTGGACTTCATCGTTTCAGACTTGCAAACAAGACAACACCGAGCGATGAAGTCGCACTGTCTAGCGTACAAGCTGTTGAATAGACCAGTCGTAGACTAAGTTCGACGTGGCGCTTACAAGGCATTCCGTCCTGTTTACATCATGCCCATCAACCCAAAAGTTGTAGGCTGTCGATCGCTTCCACAAACAGACGTAACAGTAGTGCGAGAATTGTGGACACATTAATCAACACCCGATCACGTTGCACATGAACTACGTGAATGAAAAGAGGGCAATGCCGTATATAGTCCAAATGCTGACCAGTAGCTAGCGGCCGAGTGCCTTGGTGTTAAACCGGTTAGAAGATTAGTCAAATGGTCCTCGATGCCGATTCAGAACAGGAATGAAACAACTGTACAGAGATTCTCAGGTTTCCAGCACAAAATTACGCAATTTGTGGGATAAAATCTCAAGGGAAATACAACGCCGTTGTGTAACGAGACATCGCTTCTCTGGGTTTCACACAGTAATGGTTGAAGATATCGTCGCCGAAATTGCCAGTTGGATTGCAAACGTTTCGTGTGCAATCGAGGACACGATATCAGTGCAACCGTCCTAAAACGCGACAGGATATCCCTTCTGGCTTCCTAGGCTATCACCACAGAACCACCACATCAGGGACACTCCTGATTTTCTGGTCCATGTCCCACGAATTGTGCATTCAGGAACAGTAGTTGGTTTACGCTTAACAAAGGTTACCGAAAATTCTTTGACACCTCAAGACCAGTTTCGCCCTTCCTGTTCGGGCTCATTAGGCAAACACAGTCCCCAAGTTGTCCACAAGTTCTAACTGGAACTCATGTGCACCAAGTAAGCAAAAATTAACTCATTTGCATACAAATTCGGTTTTCAAGGGAGATCCAGATATTGTTTTGTGATGTTCTTTTTCAATTGGATGCGACTATGCCTGCCTGATGAGTCCCAAGAAGGCCGAAACCGGTTGTGGGCAGTCGAAGAGTTTTCATCAACCTTACGAGTAGTGTAGTACGCGATACTGGTGTGTCGAGTCAACTGAAACATGAGGCGGCCTGGTGCAGCACACCTAGTCGAAGAAGAACATGATCAAGGAGGGATTCACCTGGGTCTACCGTCAAAATCAAGTTGGTATGCCAATGAGGGCATTCGGTTTAGTTGTTTTACACCTGTCCGGCACTTGTCCAACGCATTTCACAAGAAAGCTTTGGCAACACAGAAGAAATCTACCTACTATCGCTTTAGCTAAGCACGCGGTTTTTAGGCGATTAGTGGGTATTCCCCCCATTTAATTCGTCTTTTTGTACTCACTGAATTTTTTTATAAAAAACTTGGAAACATCACTGGTTTGGAAGATTGTCAAAGGCGTCAGAAGACCACATCGTTCTAGCATGAACGAAATGGCTGTCAGCGGACAGTGTTCATCATCTTCGGTCTAGACTTCTAGGCCAGCACGATGATTTACATCAACAGGACGAGAGACAAGCTTACGGCTAGCTTCGGTTTAAAACAGGTCCTCGGAGAACACAAAACCATCTAGGCCAAAACCAGGCAGACAACGAGGTTACACCAGACTCACTTGAGACAGAAAGCAGGATACGAGCACGGCGACGATCGGGTTCCCGTTGCTGGTAGTCCAAGCAGCAGGACGGAGAATTCGGCCTGGGCAGAAAGATGGACGCATTTAGTGAAATCGGAAAATATTTGGGACCGATTGGGTAGTCCTCGTTCCAGAGAGGTTTGGTAAACAACAATAAATCCACCAAGTGTTTACGAAACCCCTCCGAAACAATGGACACATTTAGCTTTAACAACAATTTGAACGGTTCAGTGAACGACAATTGAGCTGAGCTGGCAATCTGCATGAGGCGAAACACATGACGAACAGACCATGATACCAACCGAGTGGAAAAAACCTGAGGTTTTTTCGTAAACAAGAGAAAGATCACCGCCACCATTTAGTGCGGCTACGCTGGATGAAATGAATGGGCCAACGGTCACTAGTCACATTAAACGATACGCCCGACGGTATGCTCATTCGCACTTGTGCAGACAAACAGAATTCCGCTGGGAAGTTTTCCGATCACAGCTGAACAAGGGTACAAAGTGCCAACCAACAGATCGGTTGGTAACACTATAAAAAGGACGAAGTCACATGAAGTTGCAATTTGTGAGAAGGACCGTGAAAACAAAGATTGAGAGAAAAAGCATCAGCACCGTAACCAGTATGAATGACGTAGAGCACAGTATATGGCGTTTATTCGGGTTCATTGCTTCCTCTCAGGTTGTGTATTTTTTAAAAACTAATCAGCCTAAACAAAACGGGAACCTTATCCACAGGGGATTAGTCGTGGAGCTCGATCCCAAGCGACAAATGATGGGTACAAAAACTGCCCTTCTTGGAAGCACTTCGTTCATCGCGAATTTCAAAGTTGTGACCAGCTTTCTCGCTGTTTTATGGAGAGTGCTGCATAGAGCGCATTCGAATTATCTCCAGGGCAAATGAAGAATCTCCACGTGAAAAGACGTGTCAATGTTCTAGCAAACTAACGGTCTACTTTCGGCTACGACAGATTGGTAGGAACCAGGTTGAATAATGCACATTCTGATCAATCTCGATGGAACGGTCCACCTGCACAATTACTCTGGTGGGTGTACACCAAAGGGTTCGAACCACTGCACTGGAGGCTTGTTTTTATCAGAGCTCATTAGCAGTGAATATCCTCGGTCACATTAGAATTTGAAATCTGACGTTCGAGGCTATAACAGGCCGGACGTATATGGATTCCCACATCTGTAAAGCCGAACGTGTTCACACTTGAGCGATGTGAGCAGATTAAATGAGGCAGCAAAAGACGACTCTGTAACTGTTCTGGTTGTGTCGATTGACTGACACGCCTGTCGAGACTTCCCAGTCATGTGGAAAATTTTTGAGTTGTTGTAGGCGGTTGCGGGTATTCACACAGGCATTGCTGAGAGAGTCTGGTGCTTCTCTCTTTTGGTGTGGACTCATCAGGATAATTCCCGCTGGACAGAAAAAAGTGATGTGACTGTGGAGAAGTAGAAATCCAGCAAGAACCTACCCATAATACGGATACTGTTGTGTATCACTGCTGTCTCTGCTCCAGAGCCTTAATGTCGGCAAAAGACTCGTCAGATAGGAACACAGTTTTATTGCGAACAATCGAGAGCAAAAGTTACACGGAGCCTCGTGGCAGTTAAGGGCCAGGCTCTCTGATCGGCGATTGATGAACGCGCATCATCATCGACCGTGTCTCTATGAAATGCTTGAACACTTACTAAGGTCGATCGTGCTTCTGTGGTGTACTGAACAGANCTTGAGCGTTCGATCGGAAGATAGCTTTTCTGACCTGGATGCTTGATTTCTTCCCTATTGATATTTTGGTGCGGTTTGAGTGTCTCAGTATTATTATTATTTTCGCGAATTTGACCTTCCTGACAATCTTAGGGGTTCGGTCACTTAGCGTGGAATCTTTATCTACCTCAATTTGATTCGAACAACCGTGATCCTATCCCACGGAGAGATGAAGAACAGCCAGTCTCGCGTGACGCTTCAACTAGACCTCATCAAAAGTGCATGTCCTCAGCAAAGCCGGAATCGGAACTCTGGTCACCTGATGATATGATGTGAGCAACTCACGCCGCAAAGTACATTTTCTCCTAGTGAAACAATCACCGCATGTGGGTGGGGTGTATTCTCAACTGACAACTAGGTACACTCTGTTGTAACACATGCCACAGCAAGCGCCTCCGCTTACCTTGGCAAGAATACGAATTCTAGACAGGATGGCTCCTTATAGGTTAGAGGAGAGCATAGAACTCTGTTGCTTTGTAGGTTATACTCGGGGCACGCAAATGCTAGTGTTAATGAAAGACTCAGATGCATCTCCCGTTCGTGATCTTCTATTGAATGTGCTGCATAGAGGCGCCCCATGTCCCAATCATAAATTCTCGTCGAAACAGACTGCATACAGGTTTGCAGCAACTTTATGGATGGAGACTTCGGTCTAGAGAGAGCTAGAGAGCTAAGCGGTTAGGGCCCAAAACCACCATCCGGAAGGTCTGTGGTGCGAACCCAACTCTGGGCTTTCAAATGCTCCTGCCTAGAATTGGGCAACCTGGCAGCTGCTTCCTTCAAGTTGCATAGCAGCCATGCACGGAAACGGTGGTACAGCCGAGTGATTTTTTTTCGTTTATTTCTTGCTGTATTGCATTGTGTCGGAGGAGACGGTCTCCGAGTACGGGTTACGAGAAGGGGGAAAGTGTATTTAAAACCTACCTATCACCGAACTTCTGTAGATCGGCAAATGAAGCATTTGATCCCGTGGAACAATTAGAGCAGCCTCATGATGGTTGTACAACGGGGAGGCCGTCCCTATACCTATGTAATGGTGATACTACTAATGGGGAGACATGAGAGTAGTATGTTTTCTTGTAAATTCGCTTTGCGGCTGTTGGAGATCTATTGCGGAATTTGTGGAGATGCCTTATAGCATTTGCTTGAACTTGAGCAACAGTCAATAAACATCCAGGAAAGTTCAGGAAGGCACGTTCAAGAGAGGATGGATGTACAGTTTCTGCCAGCAAGAGAGTTTCGTTTCCCTGTCCAATGGTCTGTAACTGGTCAAATGGCATTTTTAATGAATAGCTCCGCAGCGAATGCCTTCTTCCATTCACCCATAGCATTAACTCATTATTTCAGTGACCACTGCCTAATTGGTTCGGCTGAAGATCTTCAGTTGTTTGCCACAGAAAACATGAACAAACAATGCGACGATCAGTGTAGCACGAGATCATGAGTTCATGGTTGTATGAGGGCAGCGATCACCCCACTCAGACCAAGACAGGAGGACGATTAGGGTCCTCAACTAATGCCTTTGGCTCAAAAGCTCAAACGTAAGGCGGCGATGGTCGCCATAAGGCCGGCGGAGCAACTTACATTCTTAAAGAGCTATTCGCCATACATATTCAAATTCCCAACATAGAAGAACAGGACACTGTGTTAGTCAGACCTCTAGCCATTGACCAAACCAGTATGAGACTCCGTGAGTGTCAAACGAACACTCTCCAGTGTAGCTTGCTGGATTATGAAAGTGCACAAACCAAGGCAAGTTCCGGTCTCTTCGTGATGGTTTTCAATCCACTGGTAGTACACATCGAAGGTCCCGAGTGTTAAGGAAGTTAATTACATAAGTTGTGGATGTTGTAGCTAACCGAAAACGGTTAGCTACACGTGCGACAACAATGCCACACTCATTTGCGTTAGAGATCATCATCCATTTGACTGAGATGACAAAAAGTAATGAAAACGAAGGACAGATCAGCTCAATTCTAGTGTCCTCTGCTATGTAGGACGGATCAAAGTTTGGTTTTCGCGGCACTGCCTCTCTGTGTTCGGTAACCTTCGAAGGATAAGACCACAGAGCATCTTTGATGCCACATCTACCAGGTTAGCGGTACGGCGATTTTCACGAAATCATTGCGTGCCCCTCTGAAGATAAGGATTACAGTCGATCTACCTCATCCTACAGGAATCTCTTTTTCGCTACAATGAGTTTGGTCAGATTGGTCAGCCGGGGGATCTCCGCTTTCGTTGAAGCTTTTGTTGTAGCTGATGGCTGCATGATTGTTGGGCTTGCCAGAGAATGAGTTCCGTCTAAGCCATAGAAACACAGGCAACGATGGTGCAAGTCCTCGCCAATGAGGTCATGGAAGATGACTGTGGCTGGTATATCACATCTTCACTTGCAGAATTTCTGGCTCATGGTTTGAGTTGATCATTGGTCGAAATCGTAGCATCGCTGGATTCCTCTAGTCTCCTCTATTTAGCAACCATAAAACATTGTTTGCCCTATAACTCTGTAAAAAAAATCCATTCATCCATCGCAATAGTTCAGTTGTAACACCCGTTCGGTGCCATACCATCAGAAAGAAGCACGAGGACCGGGATACTACCAGGTTGCCCAAGCCTAGACAGGTGAGGTCGAGAGGTAGAGGTCGCGTTCGAACCACGGACCTTTCGGTCAGTAAATCCGCGCCCTAACTACTAACTCGAAAATTTTGGATCGCGACTGCAATCAAAAAAGAATGCTATCCGGTGTTCATAGTTAATCGGTTAGGATGACCAAAAAAGCCTAGAGTCCTCTCTTGAACGATGCATGAAGTGACGTACCAAATAGGTGCATTTCAGGTCACGTTGCAAACTATTTCACAGGAAATCGAATAGGTCCCACTTTTTCGGGCCTTTTCAAGCTCCAAGACCGCGGTAGGCAAGGACAAAAGTTCGTGCAAGTATTGTTACACATTTCAGCATGAAAGATCATAGGCCTTACTGACCCCATTTTCAAAAAAAAAATCCGCACTGAACTTCAGTTTGAGACCAAAATCGAATTCAAGCCCACCCTAGTATTCATCGGATTGACATAGCGTTGGTTGATTGATTTCAAACTACTAACGGGTAGCTCAAGAAACGACTGCAAGTTTCTGACTCCAAGAAAACATAGGACTGAATACTGGTCAAACTTGGACATAAGAGTCTATATGTTAAGTATATAAGCAGGTCTGTCAGTTTAAGAAGAGCCACTAGATGAGCTCAACTTTCTAACTCTGCTTGTTCTTCTAGACGAGGGCGGTGTCCTGGG